CGGCGAATCTGGATATCCTTGGTCAGTTCGTTTTCAACTTTCACTTTTGCTGTTTGATTCCAATAGAGGTTACAGATGATTCTAATGTCTCTACTGTCTATGTTTTTATTTAATAAAATTTCTTTAAGTCGATTATGTTGCACTCTGTCAAATGCCTTCTCAAAATCAATGAAACAGGCATATACTTCCTGAATAATATCTAAGCATCTCTGCGAAAGAACACTTATTGCAAACAGTGCATCTCGTGTTCCCAGTCCTTTCCTAAATCCCATTTGTGTATTACTTATGCCTTCATCTAATTTCTTATGTATTCTATTGTGAATTACTTTTAAAAACAATTTCAAGACATGACTCATTAAGGCTATGGTGCGATGTTCATTGCACTCCTTTGCATTGGCTTTTTTGGGAAGCAGTATGAATGTTGATTGGAGCCATTCTTTAGGTATTATACCTGTTCTATATATGGTATTGAATAGATCCAAAAGAAGATCAATAGATTCAGTATTCACAATTTTAAGTAATTCGATAGGAACTTCATCAGGCCCGGGAGATTTACCATCTTTAGCTTGTTTCATTGCATATTCAATTTCTTCTCGTATAATGTCAGGCCCAGTATCATCCTTAAATTCTTTTGGTGCTTCTGTTCTCTCTTTGTCTTCAAATAGTTGTGCTATATATTGTGTCCATCTCTGCATTTTTTGGTTTATATCTGTTATAAGTGCACCCCTTTCATCTCTTAGTTGCCTAGTTTGAAGTGTTTTTCTCATTCCTGTTAATTCTCTAATTCTTTTATGCATGTTAAAAAAGTCATATTTTTTCTCAATTTCTTCTAGTTCTTGGCACTGCTCATGTAACATTCTCTCCTTAGCTTCTTTTATTCTCTTTTTTATTAATCGATCAGTTTCATTATATTTAATTGGATTTTTTGTTTTGAATGATTTTCTTTCATTCATTAATAGTAGTATTTCTTCAGTCATCCAATCTTTATGTTTTCTATTCTTTGGTTTTAAGTTTTCATTTGCTGTTTTAATTATTGCTGCTTTTATATTTTCCCATTTCTGATCAATGTTATAGCTACTTTTATTCAGTTCTTGGGCATTACGTATATTTTCAGTAAGAGTTTTTACAGTTTGTTCCTTTGTTTGTGGTTCCCTTAATCTCTTAATATCAATTCTACTTTGTGTGGGTTTTTTAACCAGTTTTAATTTGGTTCGTAATGTGACTACTATGGGGTTATGGTCTGAACCGATGTCTGCTCCAGGGTAAGTTTTGGCAGACAGTATAGAATTACGAAATCTTTGTCTAATAAGGACAAAGTCAATTTGATTTCGGATTATTCTATTCGTTGTATCACCGGGAGATTTCCATGTATACAACCTTCTTTTTGGTAGCTTAAAAAGTGTATTAGCTATTACAAATTCTTCCGTCTGGCAAAATTGTATCAAACGGTCACCACGTTCATTTCTATTTCCTAGACCATATTCCCCCACATATCCATCCACTCTTCCCTGGCCAACTTTGGCATTGAAGTCGCCCATTACTATTGTAGTGTGATGTTTTTTCATTGATTTTAAGACTTGTTCCAAATCATGGTAAAACAGTTCGATATCGTCGTCATCTTTATCTGCCGTAGGAGCATAAACTTGAATAAAATTTACTATACCTTTTTTAGACTGTAGTTGTATTGATAAGATCCTATCAGAATAAGGAGTAAAACTTATCACAGAGTAATTGACCTTTTTTGCAACTAAGATAGCAACACCGTAACGATGATTGACCTCGTTGTTACCTGAATAATACATGGTTCCATTATTTGTAATTTGTTTGCCTGAACCTGGCCACTGTAAGTCACTTATACCTAAAACATCAATTTGGAGGTTTTCCATTTCAAGCAGTACGTTCGCTAATTTACCACTTGCATATAAACTTCTGACATTCCAGGTTGCTATTTTCAATGTCTTAAGTCCACAGGGATTTCTCTGGTTTACGACCTGGGAGGCCCTGTGATCTACAGTTATTCCTCCCCTGCCGGATCTGGGATTCCGTGCTCCATAATCAGTAAGTTTGTTTACTCTACTTGTCATTTGCCATTCATGACTTTACTATAACATGCTATAACAGTACTAATACACAAAAAAGAGACACCACAGACCTGAAAAATTATCGACCAAATTAACTTTTTTCACAACTTTACAAAACCTTTAGAAAGATTATTACAAACAGGTTAACAATTAAATTTGACGGATATCAACCAGTAGAACAAGCCGGATTTAGAAAAATGTACAGCACCTGTGACCATCTATACACTTTAAAAATCCTAATAGAAAAGACTAACGAATACAATCTCCTTAATCTGTGGCTTTTGTAGATTATGGAAAAGCTTTTGATAGCGTAAAACTGTAAGCAATAGAAGACAAGTCAACAACCCGATCGACTCCAGGTACAGAATACTAATACATAATATTTACGAACAAGCTGAAATAATAGTGACATTGGGTAATTGAATCAAAACAAGACCAGTAAAAATTAACCGAGGAGTAAGACAAGGAGACATAATATCTCGAAAATTATTTACAGCTGCGCTATTAGATACATTTAACTCAATAAACTGGGAAAATAAGGGAATCCCTATTAACGGAAGATACTTAAACCATCTTAGATACGCAGATGATGTAGTACTAATAGCCGATACGGGGAATGCACTGAATAGGATGATTGAGGAGCTAAACACAGAATCCATAAAAAAGGACTAAAAATGAATTTTAGCAAAACTAAACTAATGTCAACAAAGATATCAAACTTATGATAAACATCGAAAGGACAGAGATAGAACACGTAGATGAATATACATATCTGGGTCAAAATGTCAAAGTAAGCAAAGAAAATCAGACTACCGAAATAAGCAGACGTGTAAAAATGGGATGGGCGGCTCTCATACGTACTTAAAAATAAGATCTTGAGAAGATCAGAAAAACTTATAGAACTATGGAATACAGATGCTGGGTATCTCACGCAAGGACCATAAAACCAATGAAGACATTCGTAATAGAACAAAAGTTAAAGATGCTGTCGAACAGGCAGCTGAACTGAAATGGAAATGGGCTGGACATAACGAACTTCTTAAGAATAACCGATGGAATAAAGATCGGAAATTGGCGGCCATATGAAGCCAAAAGACCGGAAGACCGCAAATGCGATGGAGCAATATAATAAAAGAACTGCAGGGCCAATGTCGAAACGTCTAACAAACAACAGGGATGAAAGGTGAGAATTAGGAGAGGCCTATATTTGGCAATCCGAATAGAGAAAAGGGATTAAAATAAATTAGTTGCAAAAACCTTAAAATCAAAATTTTATGTTATAACATTTGAAAGCTAGGCCCCTACAATTAAAATTACACAGCGACGTATCAATGGAAGTAATACATTTTATTGATCTCATGAGAATCGCAGAAGATGCCAAAAATCACGCAACGTTCATTTATTTAACAGGTTTATAGAAACTGACTAACTTTTAAGCAAAGTGCAAAAATTGCATATGAGAGCTGCATGCTCTAATTTTATAATGCATTTTGATTTTTGTCGATAGGATACTTGAATCAAAAGATGTCGAATTTTTACTATCGAGTTATTATAAATTTTATTTCAAATTGATTTCGCGCGTAACTGATATTCACAATCGCCGCTCACTTCAAGCGTTATTTCTGAAAGAATGAATTATTTGACAGAAAAGTGCTAATAAACGTTTTTGTTTAAAACTATCACATCGATGGCTTAACTTGCAAATTGGCTAACTCCTTTTTGTACTAAAATACGAAAGTTTTTTTCGTTGTCGAATGCATCTAGTTGTAGCTCACATTATGTTCAATAAAATATCTTTCTAGCTTTTAAAGTTACGGAGACAACGACGAAAAGAAACAACACCAAAATGTGGCTAACTCCAAGGTCAACCGCCAATTTATTTGTACTTGACGGTGAGTAACAAGTGCCACATTTTAAGTGCGCGGTCTTTTTTATAAAAATATGAATTAACAAATAAAATAAAGCTGATTTAATAACGATACAGTATATTATAGTGGTGGTAAGAGATACCTACAAAACGTTCAAGAGACAGAATAGACCCAAAGAGAATATTTCTCATAAAACAAATCAACACGCAACAAAAAATCCGTACGAAATAGAAGTAAAATCACTTACTGAGTTTTAGAACAATATTCCAAAAACTTTTGCGGCAATAATGGGATTCCACCATGATTGCCGCAAAAGTTCGGCCAAGCTTTATTTGTTGCCAGAATGGACATCAAAAAAAGCGCCTTGTATAATTTCTACACATTAGACTGGTGCACGCCACGAAATACCAAACCTCTTTGAATTGCTAAATTAAGCAACACTTTAGAAACTGAAAATATATCACTGTTTAAGCCAAAACAAGATGAATGTGAAAAGTTCCTCTCTCACAAACTCGGAAATATATCTGACACAGAACACAAGGAGCACATAGGAAGAAAAAATAAAGCTAGACTTGAAAAAGAACAGGATAAAAATACAGAAGAATTTGTATTCGCACACACAAGCTATGTTAATTACTATTAAACTGGGAATAAGCCACAATTAAAGATAAAAATACGTTTATTGACGTTTCAATTTCCACTTCGGAAATCGTTCACAGAGAACGATTTCCGAAGTGGAAATTGAAACGTCAATAAACGTATTTTTATCTTTAATTGTGGCTTATTCCCAGTTTAATAGTAATTAATTTACAATGCCACAAGAAAATAGCTTCAGAACAATACAAGCTATGTTATTGGCACCACAATCTAACGTGTCATCTCTATATTATAAAACTAAGATATGCACGCACAATTTCTGTATATTTAATATAAAAAATAAAGACGGATTTTGTTTTCTCTGGAACAAGACCGATGGATCAAATCTCTGGCGACTGGACTATTCTAATTGCTAAAAAAGTTTTAAAATGCACTAGTAGTATTGAATCCTTACCTTTGCTCATTTTGCTTAAAATGTGGTCACCAACTGAACTTGAACCAGCACTCTCACCCCCGATAGTAACTTTGGAGGAATCTCCACCAAATAGATGAATATTTTCTGATACCCATTTTAGTGCAAAATTTTGATCTCTTAGACCTAAATTTCCAGGTAATACACAATCATCTGTGGCCAAAAAACCTACAAAATATGAGAAAAGTATAATACGACATTTGTTAAAATCAATAGCACCAAAACTACATATTTATTTAATTAAAATAATCGTTAAATCAGACCAATAAATATATTTAACCATCCTTTCATCGGGTGTGACCTGTGAGTCTACGACAAAATAAAATTTTGGATAAGTCTCTCATTTTACATTTTTAAATTTCTACCTTTTCGGTACCTACCTAGAAACTAAATACCATTGGTTTTTTTTATACAAAATTGTTTTCGAAATTTCTAAATTACTACATAGCCGTTTGTCCTGGCAGACTCCACCCGATCAAATGTGTAACAATATTTGCACTGCTTTTTAGTTGTATTACTCTTGGAATCTTTTTTCACTTGGCAACCCTGTGCATTTTTCTGAACTGGATTATTCCAGTTATGGATTAAAACTTGTTTGAAGTGGTTTACAATTGAAATCTCGAAATCTCAGAAAGAAAATAGTGAAGTATATGAAAAGTGTTTACAGATTTTTGTAAAATATCAATATAAGAATAATTTCATATCGAGATTCGGTTGGACAAACATTATAAAGGTACGAAGTAGCTGCATAATTTACTAATCTGATTTATTTGACAAAATATTGTATTTTAGCATTGTAAAATGGATCCTTATGAAGTGGGAGGCTAATGAATCTGTATGAAGAAACTGTCACAGACAGAGAAATAGACGATTTTGACGACGATTCTATCGCTGATCCAGATTTTCTAGGGATCAGTGATCATGATACAGACACCGAGCAGGAAAATGAAGATGAGCAAATTCTAAATGAGAATGAAGTCAAGAATGAAGAAAATGAGGAACAACTGGGTAATTACAGAGGCTTATATATTTTTGGTAAAGACGGAACTACATGGAGAAAATTTGTCCCAACTAGAAACATTAGGACACGCAACGAAATTTATACATAAAAAAATTTCCGTTAGATATCAAGAAAAGGCTTAATGTAGACCTACTTACCAAATGGTATGAAATATAAGATATTTCCTGCTAAAATGGCAAAACGTAGGTTTATATTTTTACTGAAGCGTATCCAGTTTAATAATACCACGACTCGAGACCAAAGAATAGAAGAAAATTGTAAGAAGAATTACTCATTGGGAGAGTTTGTGACTTTGGACCAAATGTTACTTGCCTTTAGGGGTAGATGCAGTTTTAAAATGTATATTCTAAAAAAAATAACAAATATGGGCTCAAATTTTTTCAGTTGTTGATGCCAAAACTTTCTTCACCTTGCACATTGAAATCTATGCTGGTTTTCAACCCGATGGTCGATATAAAGTTGAAAATTCTACTGCTGCAGTAACTGAAAGAATGTGATTCGGGTTCAGGAAGAAACATAACCATAGACCGTTGGTTCACAGGATATGCAATTGCCAAGGAACTACTAACAGAACAACGACTCACCGTAATTGGTACAATTAGAGCCAACAGACGAGAATTACCTGCAGAAATAACGCAAATTAAAAATCGGCAGGTATATTCTTCAGTTTTTGCATTTAGTAACGATATGACTGCCGTATCGTATATACCGAAGAAAGGAAAAAATGTGATTGTTCTTTCCACTGTGCACAGATATGATCGGATTGATGAAGATACTGGTGATCAGAAAAATTAAAAAATAATTAATGTTTATAATCCCACACAGAGTGGAGTAGATGTTGTAGAATGAATGAATACATCATATAATGTTTCCAGAAATACGTAGTAGTTTATGATCTTCTTAATCTCGCAGCAATTAATGCATTTTTAATTTACAAAGGCAACAACCCACATGCAGAATTTTCCAAAACGCGAAAATTATTTTAAAAAAACATAGGTATGAAATTGGTACAGGAGAGTATACGACGGAGAGCAGTTGACACCCATTTGACAAAAGCTGTGCGTGCTTCAGCCTTGAAACTCTTAGGCATTGAGGTCGACGTTGTACCAGAGCCCCAGCCAAGTAAGAGAGGAAATTGTAAATATTGCAATAGACGCAAAACTCGTTTTTTTTTTTGGCAAAAATTGGCATGCTGCAAAGATTGCTTAGAAAATTTGACCACCAAAGTTTGACCACTGTAGTTTGTGTCCACAATTTAATTTTTTAGTTTATATATGTTTCTGTTGTAGTTTGTTTGTTTCTAATTAAAGTTTTAAATTTTTTTTTTGTTTTTTTTTTTTTTCATTATTTAGCCGCTGTTCACAAATTTGGAAAAATATGCGTTAAAATTGTAAACATTTAACATCACTGAAAATTCTAAGATCTTTGTTGTCAATTCCAATTTCTTGCGTACTATATAACATCTTTATCAAATACTATATATAATATAACGACATGGTTCTTTATTGCTAGTAGGATAGCAATAATGATAATCACAAAAATGGTGTAGGAATCATGATTTACAAAACACTATAACCGTACATCTCTAACTTTATTCCCTATAATGAAAGAACAATAATGTTACAGTTAAAAACGTACCCAATAAACATAATTCAAATGTATGCCTAACATTTAGTTTTGACGGCACTTAGGGGCACCGATAATCACATAGGTTTATTGTATTCAGATTTACAACATCTAACGAAAAACGAAAAAAAAAACATGAAGTAAATATAATAATGGGTGACTTTAACGCCAAGTTGGTAAATGGAAAGTAGAAGATATTGTCAAGAGAAAGAACTGGATATCACAAAAACCTGTTATCAATCAACACCATCAATTGTACACAACTTCAAAAAATTTTAGAATTGTTTCTGTAATAAACATTATATAGTTAATGAAATGTTTAAAACACGTTTATGCAAAATTAGCAAAAAAATATATGCTGTTGCTCGGGAGGCGGTATTTCATTTTGGTCCTCACAGACCACATCCGACCAAAAGTGTTTCAGAATGCTCCCCCGATAAACGGAGGGTTAAAATATTACTTTGTGGCTTTATTTTCCGATCATTTTTTTATAATTAGTGTTCATGGCTACGTGCCGGTCTCAGCTTCTGTACAGAAGGGACGCTGTACTGAGTAGGAGTCCTTCAGTACTTTGAGCAAGACAGACTGGGCGGGGAAGTTCTCAACCCCTACACGTCGCGTCCCATTGGCTGATGGACAGACACATGAGACGAGGAAGAAATTAAGGATAATAATACTTACAGAAGGAAATTTCACACTACCTAAAGACGCTATAAGAAAAAGTCCATTGCTGTTCAGATAAAGACGAAGACTTAGAATATGTACCTTTGTTACCGCTGTTAAAAAGATTACAAGAACGAAAGGACAGGACCGCAATTGACAAAAACTTGTACAAACAATAGTACAGTAGAAACATATGGGTGGAATGAAAGGTTTGAAATCGTCAAACATGAATTACAAGATTTAAATGAAGTTAAATATTTAAAAAATTATTCAATGACGATATATTTGATTTATATCCAAAGAAGGTTGCGTTTCGATTTAATTTGAGTCTCTTACCACTCCCTGACACGTGTTTGTGGGTCTACCCGTCATTAGAAGGAGTTTGTAAGAATACTCACACCAAATCAAAACGCACCGAGATTAAGCTTGGGTATACAGTTTACTTTAATTTCTATCGACCTATCTTCATATATTTGATTGTTACCCAAACTAATTTATATTCTTCAAAATGCAACAACCATAGTTTCTTTGTATCCAAGGCAGATATACAAACATTTTTTGGTATATTATTACTTTCCACAGGATATCACCAATTCCTCAGTGGAAAAATTTACTGCAGTGTTTTCAAAAATTTAACTGTCGTTTGTTTATCTATCTATATCTAGAAATATTCTGACTAATCCAAAAAATAATAGAACAAAACAGAATTCCTCAACAATGGAGATCAAACATCCCAATACGTCTCTTAAAAAAGGGAGACAAATCGGACCTGGAAAATTACAGAAGAATTAATTTATTAAATACGACATTAAAAATAACAACCAAAAACAGTAGGAACGTACAAAAGAAGACAAAGAACTTAATGATACAAAATTGGAGAAAAACAACTTTAAATAATCTGCTATGCAAAGGACTCAATACTACTCTTTCAAAGCGAAAACGATTTACCAC